CTAGTATGTGTGAGCTGATTTGCTTCGCCTTGCTTCTCACCTGTTACCGCGTTGACCACAGTGTGCGTAGTTTGTTGAGACGTGTACATGCATGTGCACAGTGGCATAAAATGTGTACGTAACTAGCAGAGCATGAGGTTAATTCAAACCACCTAAAACACATTTGCAGAAGCCACACAATTTTGTAAACCTGTCTCACAATTCCCGTGTTTGCTTCTATATGACTAAGAGTATAGTTTAGGAACCAATTTGGGAGTTTGCTATAACCTGATGCTCATCCCTGGTTAAGTAAACTAAGAATTTCAATTGTCACAAGAAGGCTCACTAATCATTGAGCATGCCGAACAGTCTGAACGTGATCGAGATGACTCTTCTTCATGCCAATATTACCGAACCTCTCTACCTATATGTGTGTAGCTGAATTACTTTGCCCCTTGCCTCTCCAACCTGTTACCTCGTTGACCACAGTGTCACATTGCATGTCTGTTGACCACATGTGTAAATTGCATAGGGCCACAAAGACGTAACAGACCCATGAGGGTTAATACTACGTTTCAAAAAACACACCTAAACAAATTACAGCAAGAAACAAATATAGTGTAATGCAAAAAAAATGCCAAGTGTATATCAGTTACTATATATAGGAGGAGTGTAACAGTAAACAATTGTCATTTTAGGTGAAAAAAACCTATGCATCATATCATCATATTGCCAGTTGACACAGTACCACCAAATGCAGGGAAACAAACCCGTTGACTCGTTCGTTACTCCCTCGTACCAACACACCCTCCCCGCTTCCTTTCCGCCCTCGTCATTATTATTCACATCTAGATGATTTCTCCCGTGAACAAAGGTCAACACGTCTCTCTTCTTTGGTGTAGTCATATATGGCTTCACGTATATAGGGCAACCAGATAGCTACGTGATCAAACACCTTTAATTAATAACGTAGTAGGTACATAGTGCCAATCCAGTGACCACCTACCGACCCGTTTCTCCGTTGTTGATATGTCTCTGTCTATTTATACCAGCACAAATACCAACTGACAATGTGCCATTTGTAGTAAAACTGTAGTTCACAAAAAATCACTTTTTAACCCGGCACGAAAAGAGCACATGACTACATAACAAGACCACCAATGCTTAGGTTGGCTACATCATGAAAATAGGACATACATGAAGAAAGTGGGTTTTGCTTAGGCTCAATTCGCTATTGTACTGTACCCCTATAGTCAAATTTCACCTATATCTAAATAGCTGCCCACCTTTCCTCGAGGTATTTCTTGGCGAGCCCCAGTCAGGTTCCAGAGGAGGGAGGGGCAGGAGTCACTGGGCCTTGGCCCCTTCCGGTGCTCAGTCGTGCCTTCAAGAGTCCTCCTTTTGAAGGGGCGGGGCCACTGTTGCTCACTGATTTTGGTTTTGGAGCAGTGGTTTGCGGTGGGGGGGGTTGTCTACCTGGACCTTCACAATACATGTAGTTCATAAAGGGGAGAGTAAAAATCATCAAGACATAGAGCTGCTTGATCCTCCGGCTAACTAACAAGTAGTGAAATGTATTGTAATTGCAATGACCGGGTTCAATATAACTTACACAAACGATGCAACAGTGAATGTAGTCGATGCTAATAATACCTATAGTTATACAGGGAGAGCAGTGAAATCTACAGCAAGCCTGAAGCCCTTAAATTGTGCCGTTACCAAGCGTAGTGCGGAGAACGTAAATTGCCCTAGTGCTTATATGCCGCTATAAGAACGATGACTGCCCAGAATTATTGAGAGCGAATTCTAATTGCAGGCACACCCAATTCCACATTTGCGCGGGTTGCTTGGCCCCCACCCCGGTAACAGCACCACAGGCACTTAGAAAAGTGAATTCTGGATTACAAAAACATCAGTGTGAGTGAGCTCAAAAACTTACGTAATCATAGGTGTTTAAAACCTGATTCCTCCAAGTGGACAACAGGGGAGGGGACGGTGCGTGGAGGAGCGCCCCTAGCCAACCCAATACGAGGATGAATCATATATGACCATCTCACTCAGGTCACATTGGATGACCAACCGCAGGGGGAGGAGGAGGGGTTGGACAGTACCCTCCAAGGTGAGCTATCTCTCTGAAACTGTCTCGTCTCGGTTTCTGGTTGTTTTCGGCGGGTCACGGTTGAGGGGGGGGTCGGTGTTTGGTTCTTGGTTGCTCGTGTGAGGTTGTAGGGCTTGTTGTGTTGGTGGTCTAGGTTCGGGTGGGTGTATGGGAGGGCGTGGCGGCGTCGGTGGTCGTGTTGTGTGGAGCGATGTTGGGGTCGCAGGGGGGTTTTGGCTTGTTGTCGTCTTGGCCATTTTTTTCTGGGGTTTGGGGTGGCGTAGGGGGGTCTTCGTGGTTCCCTGGTTCTTCGTGTGTTTTTCCCGTGTTGGGTTTTTGTGTGGGGGGGCGTTGGTTGTGTTGTGTCCCTAGCGTCCTTTCCGTGTTTGGTTGTTGTTTTGTGTCTTTTTATGTTTTTTTTGCAGCTGTGGTGCTTCTTTTTGTGGGTGGTTGGTTTCTGGGCCCACAATGGGAGAGGGCGTGGGGGCTTGCTCCAGTTAGGACCCCCAATTGCAGGTGCCAGGCGGGCCAGGTCATAGTACACCTTTCTCGAGGTGAGCGACCGGACTGCACATTGACAATGCACACTCATTCACACAAACCAATTTTGTTTGTATAGAGATTACTACACCTTTTGTTGCATGTCACGAATCAAAACACACAAATCAACTACAACCCAGGAAAACATGCACAGACCAGTGCACACACACAGGGATGGAAGTCAACTTACTACAGGTTAGGTGAAGTATTTAGGCAGAGTAGAGGCACCCCCGGCGACCAGAGTCTTCTCTGAGTTTCACTGACGAACAGGCGTTCAAATCCAAACGGCCCCAAGCCTCAACGCTTGAGGACAGCTGGGGCTGCACCTTTGGCTTCGGTTGGCCTCTGGTTTGGGAGACGCGACCCATGTGCGACCTATCAATCACAAGTCTTGTTTCATTGGGGGAGGAGGAGTGGAGGAGGAGGAGGAGACGGGGAGGAGCCGGGGAGACAGACAAAGACAGTGGTCTGGCTCGACATCACTTACACTGTAACGTTTACGTGATGTACACGACTACGCTGAAACTTGTGCACGCCTCTATACATAAACTCGGTACCTGTGCTAGCCGGACAATGTGGGTCTATAGCGCAGGCAATGTGGTGTGGACACACAGGCACACGGCGCAAAGGCCATCTGATACATGATTGCCATTGTACACACTACAGCTGAAAGGCCACCCACATGAGTGCAACGTCGTGTACCAGTATGCAAGTGTCCGAGGCTACACCAGATAGGTACATACAGTACATAGATAGGATAAGCTACCTGATAAGACGATACGTACCAGTCCCCTCCAGCAGCGGAGGCTGGGGCTCCAGAGGAGAGGGGGCGGGCCAGGGACCAGGATGGTGGGAGGAACACCTGGACGCTGATATTGCGCAGATCTAGATTAATATTGCGGACTCGCCACATGTTGTCGCCCCATAAGACAACAATATGTTACATGACTGGCACGGATTTGCGACGGAGCGCGTGAGCAGTCTCGTATTCCTGAACCATACTGGTTCTTACACCGTAGCCTGTGAAGGTCATGGAGTAGTTCGATGGATTGCACTGCATTGGTCTTGCCTGATTTATATACAGCAGCCAACGGCCCATCCACACTCATACTTGCTATGTAGATGTAGTATGTAATCAGGTTGTACATGTACACACAACAGACATCCCAGGAGTATTGCAGACACTCTGGTACGTTACCCCAGCAACGGATGGTGGTATGGAACATAAGTTATCTGCTAGAAAAACACACTATCCACATCATTGTGCATGGATTACGCAACAGCAATAGATCTCCATGCCACACACCAATGTATGCAACTATAGCGTCTGTAACAACAGCCAGGAGGAGAGGTGGAGAGAAGGCGTTGCTCATGGAGGGGGGAGGAGGAGGTGGAGGAAGCAGGGGTGACCCTCCTGCCATGGAGAAGGGAATAGGAGGAGGAGGAATTGGTGGGGCCTTCGGCATTAGGGGAGGTGGTGGAGGCCCTGTATATACACGTAACCAGACACAAACTCAGAGTAAAAGTTGTACTGCTGTGTATGCATCAGTAGTGGCAGATGGAGGGAACAAGTGTAACAACAACAATCACAAAATCCAAACATGGCATGGAGACACTTCAAAACCAGTTCACTGTGTTCACAAGAAGACTCTAGTGCATACAGGGACAAGACCATGACCATCAAACTATCAAACACCATGAATGGAGGAATCACAAGTCCATGAATTGAGTTTTGCTATATATATGTGCACACTATTGGTTGCTGTAGAGGCAATGTAATTCAGTGTTTTACGTAGCCTGCATGCATGGTGTGTGTGTGTGTGCTGGCTCACCGGGAGGTTCAGGAGCAGGATAGGAGGAGGGAGGGGTTGGTGGAGGTGGTGGAGGCTGACCCATCGCTGTACCTGTGACAGAGTGCTACAATGTATAATTACTAGTATATAGGGTCTTGTAAATGTCAGATGGACGAGCATTTGACCTTGTAACACAGACTAACCAGAGACGGAATATACCGCCTCGCTGCTGGTTTCAATGAGTAATTATCTTGACAAGTAACAACCCTATGCATCCACACACATATTTACAGTGTACACACAGTTACCGTATGAAGGAGGTGGTCCAGGAGGTATAGGAGGAGGTGGCATCCCTGACGAGGGGGCCATTGGAGGGGGTGGGGCAGACGACTGCATTCCTGGAAATCCCCCCATGGTAGGCGGGGCCGGAGGAGGGACGGGGGTGATGCTGGGCGGGGCCACGGGGGCCACCGGGGCGATGGGGGTGGGGTGGGGGGCCATGTGGGCCGTCGGAGCAACGGGGGCAGTGGGTGGAGGGATGAAGGAGGAGCTTGAGTAGCCCGACCTGCTCAGTGTGGAGCTCTGGAATGGCTGGGGGCTGGGAGGTGGCTGGAGTGGAGTGAGGAAGACATTATTATGAAACAAGGTGCCTTATGGGAGTAGGTAGTTTGTGACACCATGTATGATCTCCAGCAAACACACACGTATGTACGTAGAGGCTCTCGCTTATTGTACATTTGTAAAATTTCTGCCCGAGGTTAGCAACATTCGCTACTAGCCCACTACAAGTCAGTAACTCTAGCACACAATCCAACATGCACTCTTTGTCATGGACACACATATGTATAGGGGAGGTATGTATGCATGTCAATATACATAACCCAGAGGAATATAATGTGAGTTAGGAGGTGTATTTCAGGGGTCAGAGACCCAGGAAAGAGACTCAGGGTTCCTTGGTGTTGCCCCCTCACCCATACCAAGCACACTCCCCAGAAGCCACCAAACCACCCCATCATCCCCCCCATCCCCAGCCCCCCAGCCCAGCAGCAGGAATCCCCACGCATAGCCCCACCAGACAAACAGACAGACACCCACCCCCCCAGGACCCCACAGTCCCCAGCCCAGCCCCGCATACCCACACCCCCCACCACCCAAGCCCCATGCCCCCCCAGCAGAGCCCCCCAGACCCCAGCCCACTATTCAACCCAACCCAAGGCCCCATCATCAGCTCCACCCCCCACCCCCCAAGACACAGGACACAAGCCCATAAGGCAATATCCAGACAGCTCCCAAGATGTATCCCCCCCCCATCCAGCCCAGCCAAATCAATAATCCATCCCATAATCACTCATCCCCCCCATCCCACAGTCTGCACAATGCCATCATCACACCCACCATCCACCATCAAGCCATCCCCAAAGTCCACATCCACACATCCATCACCCCCATCATGTGTACGCTGCAGCAAGATGTGACAAAGATTTGGTTGTAGTGAACCCGTTTGTGCCTTTTGCCGTTATACCTCGCCCCAGTTGACACAGGAGACTGTTTCAACCTCCTCACCTCCTTCTTGCTGTATCTGTCGTCCAGGACCTGGTTCTTCTCAGCGACCCTGGTCCCATGCCCCACGTGGTCAACCGGGAGTTGAATGATCTGTGAGCGGCCCGACCATGGCGGACTCTCCTTGATGGAGGGTTGGCACCACCGTATGGGCCAGCCGCGATGTTCTTTGAACC